ACAAGGGAGAAGGAGAACTATGAAATAAGCAAGCAACAAAACACTCTAATTCCTAGAAAACAGTAATTGAAGGACTCCAATAGGAAAATACATCAACGGAAAGGGGAAAGGGGAAAGGGGAAAGGATCAACGGAAAGAGGAGAGGGGACAGGCAGGTTGGCTGCCCCCTTTATAGGCCACCCGGTCCAGCTGGGGCCTAGACCGGCGCTTTATACCATTTGGTTTAGCCGGCCGGCTTTTTCCCGCACCCGTGTCACATATATGCTTTTCAAATTATGCATTTTTGAAATAAATTTAACCGCCTTAATAGAAAATTTAGTGGCTTTTATGTAATGATCAATTTTTTTCCTGATCTTGGTTCTTTATTTGTGGATATGAACATGTAAAGGGGATTAAAAAAAAAATCGCTTCATGCCAAGTACTGCAAGTGGGTTGATGCAATGGCTGAGCCGGCTTTATTTTCTTCGAGGCGGTAGCCTTTGGCATTATTCTTAAAAACACAAACAAAACAAAAATATTTTGTACCGAAGGTGGTGTTATTTGGCCTTATACTTAATTTGAAAACCAGGTGGAAGTTTAGCAGATCATTTCATGAATATTTGGTTGTTTTTGGAATTAAAATTTGACTGCTGGTTGGCTAAGTTGGAGATTTCAGATAAAACCTGGGAATATTTTTATCTAGTGGAACTAACTTTAATGTAAATTGAGACTGTTTCGTTGCCAACCTTATCTAGTAGCATAGGTTACGAGGAATTTAGATATAGTATTATGAGGAGTAAAATTCATTGCTTTTGGTGTGAATAATATTTTTTAAGTTTCAATCTTATTAGTGCAAGTTGGATCCATGATTTCTTCAAGTGTAGTATAATTGTAGCTACATATTATTTGGTGTTTTGAATTCTTTTACTTCGGTAAATTCATTCCTTATTCAATTTCATCTAATTTATTTATTATTGGTCTATTTGTTACTCTATCTTTATCAAAAAATGACATGTCAAAAAATCCAATAATACCAGAGTTGACCCAAACAAGAATAGAAAAGCAAAGATTATTACTGAAAAGACAAACCGAAGATTACAAACAGGCACACTTAAATAGGAAATAACAAGTACGGCTCTAACTTGTTGGTGGAGGCTGTTGGGGGTTGGGGAAAAGTGATGATGAGGTAGGGAAGTGGGGCAAGGGGATTAGTACAGCAGGGGAATAGCAGATGCTTGCTGTGCTGAACGGCAGGACGCAGGTAGGATGATTGGGCAGCTGTGAAACAGCAAAGTGAATGGATTTTGGGCAGGCGGCATCAAGGTAGAATGACCGGACAGCGGTAAAACAGCAAAGCGATAGAGTTGTGGGTCTGCGGCAGCGATGCAAGACATATGGACCGCGGTAAAACAGCAAAGTGATGGAGTTGAGGGGCTGCAGCAGCAATGCAGGATGTCTGTGAAGGTTGGAATTGATGTGGGAGCTTGCTGGTCCGGAGTAGCAGCAGCGAAAGATGGGTGTTTTATGGGTGCTGTCAGCAAGGCGAAGTGGGAAGTGGGGTTTCTGGAAGGCGGCCACAAGTCAGAAGGGAGGAATGCGAGGTTTGGAAGGCGATGACAAGGTGGACTGCAGATAAATAGCCAAGGAGGGTTGTTTCCAGGCGGCACAGAAGCTACGGCGATGACGACAGCGGAGGGAAGGATGCGGAGGAAGGGAAAGTCGAGGATAGTCACCGCCTCATAAGGAGCTATAGCCAGGCACCACTCACCCTTAGATTTAGTCTTAGAAGGGAAACCAGAGACACCGACGGCTATCCCAATAGATAACACACCAAGAACTAACCCTAATACATCAACAAAGAAAATTTATAAAAATGAGATACCTAGGAGTGAGCCCAAGGGACCGGCCGACACTCCACATTAAAGTAAAACCTGGACCAGTTCGGTCAGGAAAGTAGGCGCTGCTTTTAGTCGTTGAAAATCCTGCGTCCGCCCAGTGCAGAAGCGGGAGACGCTCCTGTATCACCTACTTTTTGAAATTGATTTGATTTGCTATTTAATATTATTCTTTTCTAAGCTCTTGTTGAAGTTTTAAAAAATTAATGATCGTGTTATTATCAATTGGTCTTAAATTCTATTCTGTGTTTTCTTTCAATTAAAATGAATTGTATTAATCTGTAAGTTGTGATATCTTAATAGTCAAATTTGCATGAATGCATGCTTACTCATCATAATCCCCTGAGCCACAATGTTATGTTTAGTTTGTTTTATGTAATTTTCTTTAAATATGATAATTCTTTGAGATTGCTGTTGTTTTAATCGATTCATATTATAAAATGATGATATAAAAAAGTAGTTATCCATCATACTAGTTGTATTTGGAAATTGTAACATTGAGTCATCCTGCATCAAATTAATATTCGAGCTTTAGGTCGTGTGAATATGCTATGAAAGCCGGGCTAATTATCATGTTCATATATTATAAAAGGGGTGAAATTCTAACTACTCTGCAACAACTACTGAATGAGTTGCTAAATATGCAAACCAAATCTATGATGACTTTAATTTATTAGAACAAGGAATGATATCGTAGGAGCCAACCAATGGTCTAGTTTAACCTTTAGCACTTAAGGTTTAGCATGGGTTAGCTTAATTGAGCCACATTTGACCAATTTTTTGTGTATTTTATATTCTTTTTTATTACCGTTTGATCGTCAAACTAGCTCATTGATCCTGCATTATGATCAAGGTGGGCTTACATTGAACATTATGGGTGAAGGCCTTGAAAGTGAGTCTAGATTTAAGCAAGCTTAGACCTTTTCTCTAAACTTTGATTATAAAATAGAAGGTATAGGTTGAGTCAAAACAACAGAAATATTCAGTTAGATTTTTTCTTTATATATATAAGAGTTCTAGTCCCCTTTTTGATGCCCTTCTCTTGCCCTCACTAGGCTTGTGATCATGCTCACCCATATTTGTGGACCATTCTCACAGTATTCCTCGCTCGTTGGTGCACTCCAATCTTGCATTGTAATATTGATTATATTCGTTCCTCTTGCTGCTCCAGGTCATCATTGTCTATGACAACATTGTCGCTGCACATGGATCATCATGCTTGTGGGATTCTTGTGGCGAATCCAGTTCTTGCCCATTCTTTCCACAAGCCCTCACTATGCTTTTCTTTGTTTGAACTGAGATGACACTCCATCTTGTGTTGTCAGTGTGTTTTGTGGTGGCCCATCTCCAATTTACCTAATCTCCTTATATGGAATTTGACTTCCATTTCCCTTTGTAGGACTTTTTCTTCTTCCCTTTGCTTTTCTTTCATTTTGCTTATAGCTTTGCCTTGTGGTTTGTATCTATTAGCCAATATTATTAAAAGTGTACTTTCATTGTGATAAGTGATGCACAGTCGTTGCACATTGCTTGTCTGTGAAGCACAATCTTGTAGTTTAGCGTGTGCTCCGCGCTGCTTTGCAGCGTCGTACCCTCAGCTCCAAATCATAAAAAAACTTGGTTCAAATTTCTTTTGGATGCAATGATACGCACGAGCATTTTCTTCTTCAAGGCATGCAGTAGCCTTGTTGATCGGTTATAGGCCCAATTTCTATATTGTTAAAATTTTCTTCATTCATACTTTGAAGAAATTACTAAATAAAGATATAAGTTTTCAAGAATGTTCTTATCCTTTGATAGCATTTAACGAAAGTCATTTCAACAAAATCAAATCCTCCAATGAACCTCAGATAATAGTTTAAGAATGACTGGACAAGGTCCATCCCTGCAAAGATTACAGTAAAAAAAATTTGTAGATTCCGCTTGAAGTTATGAATGAAGCTCAGATCTTAAGAAGCCCGAAAAGTTGACAAGACCAATGCTATTGATGATTATATTGTATTCAAAGACTTGTGAGGTAAAATTTAGATTCCAAAATAGTTCCATGAAGAAAATAAAAAAAAATGACCCCAAATGTAACTCATGTGGCAAACATGACACATGATGGGAAGGTTTTGCTTGTACGAGGAGGCATTATACTCCTTAGATACAAGAATGTTGAGGGGAATGGGCATTTGATAAGGGATTTTAATTTAATTAATTTAATTAATTACATAGAACATTAGTAATTTTTTTTAAGGAGATAATATATAATTGTGTTGACAGTATTGTGCCATATCTCTTTTCTTGTATCTCAAATTTTGTGTTGTCATATCGTGCAGGGGCAGTTTTGTGTTTCACTTTCGTGCGGTGGGTTAGTGGATATGGTGTGCTTTCTAGATATTTTTTTATGCTAGGAAATCATTGAGTCCGTTTTGCAAAACAAGCTGTTGTTTTTGTTGAGTTTGATTTGTGCATTTACGTGATGTTATGGTTGTTGTCCTCCAGTTTCATCTCGTTTGATCAAATCAATTGCAAAGGCTCTTTTTGATAATTTTGATGCTCGAAATGCATCGACGTGGTTCGTTTTGCAAAATATGGGGATTTGAGTGATTTTATTGTAGTCGATGTTTTTTGAATTGACCTTACCCAACAATCCTTCAATTCTCTACCTTCAACATCGTGTTTAACTGAATCGATCTATGGAGGAGGTGTTGAGGTCAGCAAGTTTGTTTGATCCTTCTAAAACCTAAATAAGACTCCCATCTATGAGCTCTAAATCTTGTCTAATGCTTAGATGATGAATAAGCTAGGCATTACAACTGTTAAAAATAAGCTTTTAAAACCTTTACTTTTTTTATTTTTTTTGTTTTGTAAAAATTAGGCAATTCAATTATTTTTTATTATTGAATTTGGAGCTTTTAAAACCTTTACTTTTTTTATTTTTTTTGTTTTGTAAAAATTAGGCAATTCAATTATTTTTTATTATTGAATTTGGGAAACAAAATGGTGAAGTGCTTCCATGTATTCTGTTCCCGTGAATAATTTTTTATAAATGTTCAAGGAGCTGGTGCTTATTCTCACTTAAGCAACACTTTATCTACACAAGGTGACTTTTTTCTGTACTTGTTGTATTTGTATGTGCAGTGATGGAGTTCCTGCCCTTTTGGAACAGATTGTTGAGGGGATGTGTTTACATATGTCTGATGAATCTCCAATTGTGAGAAGCATGTGTTTGCGAGGGCTTGTCCAGGTTGTAGTTCTTCAGCTTTTAGTATCTTATAGGTTTAGGTTTTTGACAATTTCATTTTTGTTAAAAGGCTTGAATACTCATAACATCTGTTGTGTATTGTTCTTTAAGATATTTAGTTTGTTTGTTGTTTGTCGCTCTTTTTTTTATGGTTGTTTTTTTGATAGCTGTTGTTTGTCTGTTATTGTTGGCAGAACAGAAATTTCTATTTATGATTTTTGTTGTTATTTCATTTGTCAATTGACACTACATTGGAAAGCTCCAATTGTATTGTCAGCAACATTCTAAACGTATGTTATTCTTGGATTAATTTTGGAACTCACTAAGAGATTAGGGTGCATTTACTTTCCGTGCATTTATCATGGTTATGAACCCTCCTCTAGTGTGGTTATTGTCCGCTCTTACTTGGCATATATTGGCAGTTGTAATCCGAAATTGGCTAAATTTTATTTTCTTCAGATTCTGAGACCTTGAGAACTTACGGCAAGGAATTGCATTTTGTACATTGTTGTAGATTCCAAAATGTCAAAATGCCTTGTTTGGGGTTATCATGATGAATTGCACATATTGGCAGTCGTAATAAGAAGTCAGCTAATGTCAAAATTTTATTATCCTCTGATTATACGATCTTGGAAACTCATGGCGAAGAATTCTTTTTTGTGCATTTTTATAGATACCAAAATCTCAAATGCCTCATTACATTCCACAAGTGCTTGGGGTTATTATAGCCTTACTTGAAGATCATGATGAAGCAGTTCAATTGACTGCTGTACAATGCCTATTGGCAGTGAGCTTTTTGAATTTCCTTAAACCTATGAGCAAGTATTTCATGGATCCTTTTCCATGGTTTGATTTTGCATTTATAATCTTTATCTAGGTTCTTGACTCGTCGCATACTGATGCCGTGGACCCTATCTTGATAAATCTGTCTGTACGGCTACGAAATCTTCAGGTGATTATCAATATTCTTTTAAATTAGTGGCTTATCTGATCATATGGATAACATTGAATATATGATGATAATCAATATTCAAGATATGATTAACCGTATTGTGGATTTTTTTATTTTAATTATTGGTATTGCATCTATTTTACCTTTCAACAAGTATAACTAACACCTGCAATTAAGATCATCAAAAAAATTATTGAAACCTCCTTTGGAGTGGGTAGGGGTTTTTAGTTCTAAATGGGTCCCAAAATCACTATACATAAGCGAAAGAAAGTTTGGTGGCTTTATATGGCTTAGGCTTAAGGCAACACTTTGGTGTTTGACAAGCATCATTATTTTCACGTAACTAAGAATTTAGTTTTGAGATACGAAAAGTAGGATGACCTACTTTATATTAGAATATGTAGCTTTATCTTTTTTGGCAAGTGGAAAAAAAATATATTTATAACAAAGGAATATTTACTCTCTTTAGATTCTGCATCAATGTGAAACAAATATGCAAGCTTGTTAGCACTGCTAATTTTGAAATTCACAATATTAGGTGAACAAAATGATTTTACAATGGCAATCTTTTAAAATCTTGCTTACTAATGGGAGATTGCAAGCGAGATTTGGTACATCTAAAGCATAATTCAGACGGATCCTGAATTATTTGTAATGGTCCTTGCCTCAATAATAAGGGTTAGAGATCCATTAGAAATTTTGATAAGTTTCCAGGTGAGGGAGCATATGATAAAATTAGGTAATCACAACCTGTTGTGATTTAAAGCTCAAGTCTCAATTTCCTGGTGAGGGGACATAAGATGAAAATATATAATCTCAACCTTTCTCGATAGTTTATGAGTCAATGATCTTGGAATATAGACCTCTCTTGATATAGGTAACAGCTAGACGAAATGTATCTTGTAGGCCTAAAAGAGAAAAGCTTAGTGTTTTTTATAGGAGTGAGTTATTTGTATAGAAGATTTGATCACTC